TAAATACACTTTATAATTTTATTTTTCAAAACAAAAAATATAAATTTTTAAAAATGCTTTCCATTTAATTCTTTATTTATAAAAAAAATTAAAAAAGATAATATATGAGAATGTTAATATTAAAAAATATTATTAACAATTTTTTTGTAAAATTATCTTATATTTTACAGTGTTAAATTTTTTTAAAAAGTATTTTATAATTTAATACCAACGTAATACTTTAATTTTAAAACCCATGACTATGGAAACCTATGCTGTGCTCTTATGTTGGCCTCATCATTTGTGACTTCCATGCTCAGATGCCATCATAGCAGCCTAGTTCAACCATTTCAGTTATCATCACCAAATACATGCATGCATGCATATTCTCCAAAATTGCTTCCAATAAAGGGGGAAGTGCACGTGGCCTGCACATTTTTAATACAGATATAATTATTTATATGAAATTAATCATTTTTCTTTATATTTTTTGTCCATCTATATGTGTTATATAAGGATAGAAAATATGTTCCTCGCCACTTTTTTCTTCTTCTTTTTTTTTCTATTATCTGTTTTGAACTGAATAAAACATAAGTATTTCTCTTCATACATCCATATAATTTTAAACAAAGTCCTAATTTTTCTAATGTAAAAAGTTTTCATGCACATTTGTTCCACTTTGAATTCTCTCTAATAATATTTATTATTTCCAAATTATGTTTGCAAATTAATAAAATTGTCCATTATTACATGCCAAACATATCGGTAAGCGTCCACAACCTTTTTCCCATTAACCTTTACCTTCCAAATTTGGGCCCCAATAATATAATACATATTAAAATACTATTAAAACGAGGACTTAGAACTTAAGCAATTGTTCTCAACAAATATTGTTTATAATAAATCCAAGTGAGTATTACTTTGGAAGAAAAGACTTGGTAATCTGCAAGTGGAACCATTTCAAAGCGATAAGCCCTATCATTAGAGCCAACCAACTCCCACCTAATTTTAAAATTATAATATATAACAAGTTTCTTATTGTAACTACTATTTTTGTCGGCCAAAAAAAAAACTACTATTTGAATACTTTAATTAAAATCTTATTATAACTATTTGAATATTTTAATTAGTAAGATAAGATCGGCCGACTGAAGATATTATCGGAAATAACATTTGTTTAATTCTCATTTGCTTATTACTCTATTTCCCACTCGTGACTATTTTATTTGTCAACAATATTGTTTCCTTGAAAGTGAAAGGCAAAATTAATTAGACAACAAAATTTAAATATTTTTTTCTGAAAAAAAGATAGAGTATTTGCTAAGAAAGTTCCTACTGACGCTCCTTGATACATTTGAAGAGCAGGCCCACTTTTCAATATCAAAATCTCAATTATAATTGCATGACTTTAGTTGTGGCTTAAAAGTCATTGGGAAGATTCAGTCATTTTTGTTTGTGGTTAACTAATTTTTTAAATGGTTTTTTCAATCTAGAAATTTCATCAAGTCCTGTCTGGTGACCTTGACAAAGGAAATAACCTTTTATTTTTTATATAACCATAACATGGCATCAAATATTTTAGACTTATCCCATGTTAAGTTTAGAGAATTTAATGGAGTTTAAACTAATTTAAATTGAGTTTTTAAGTGACAAACTCTATTGTAAAAACTTTAACACTATTGCATTTTCAAGGCTCAAATTCAATGCCACTAATTAAGCTGGAATAACCCAATGCCAATTAAACTAAGTATTCAATGGTAGAAAATAACTTTATAATACAATAATATCATATCCAACATAATTGAGTCAAATTTATCATTTTTTAAATAAAATCTCTAAAAATTCAAATCTTAATTCATTAACAGATTAAAATTTTTTTCATTAGACTCGGTCTCTGTTAGTCAACCTAGTCAATATTATTAGATATCACAATGAAAAAATAACTAGTTTCCCATGTAACTTGGTAGGGATTAAATTAAAATAACTGGCCCACTTTTGCATTAGACAGAATTTAAAAAATAATAGATAGCTTAAATTTAAAGTAGCTATAAAAAATGAGCATCAATGATTGTGGAAACAACGTTGACAACTGGCTTGGCACATTGTTTTTGAATGGGAGGGGAGGGACGAGCGGCTCCCTTGATTTTATTTTGTTTGGCAAAACACTTTTTAATGGAAGAGTTGAGAGCCCTTCTGCCCCTTTCTATAAAGTGTGGTTTTTTAAGGGAATATTCTTAATTAAAATAGTTTTAATTGATTTTAAAATTTATGAATGCAACTTTTGGTGAACAATATAATTATTGATAGAATATAATAACATCTTGCAATTCACTTAATCGATTATGTCTGATATCATTAAAATTTTTACATTTTTTTTAATTTATCATACGAGAAATCATATGTCTTTTTGTTAAAATTTCTCCTCTAACTTATATTTAACAAAACAGTGTGTTATGGGAATTTATTGATTGCTTTGAGTAAGATTATGATGAAATGTCAAGGTTAATAAGACAACTGGTTAAACACAGGTTTCTTGAAAGCTAGTGAGGTGGTCATAGAAGGAAACTCCCAACTTGTCATCAAACAGTGTTAAGGTGAGTCTACCTTTGGTACTTGAATATTAATTTTTTTAAAAAATTATTCCTTGTGATTTCTTTTTAAGTCACTTGTAAAATATTTTATTGAAATTAAAAAAACTTTAATTTTTATTAACTTTCTCTCAAAATTTAATAAATTTTTTGTTTTACTTTTGCTATATATATATACATAGAAATTTTTGCACATATAACCCATTGAATAGGACTAAATAAAAATGATAGTTTAACATTTTAAATATTTTGCAACGTGACCGAATTAATATTTATATTAGATTGACATGACAAAAATATCCATTCTCTTCAAGTTTAAAATCCTATTTTCATTTTTAAATTTAAAATATATTATGCCCATTAACCTGATGGAAAAATATTTAAAAGTGTTCAAATATTGATTGTAAATAGGCTAAATTTTGCTATTATATTACACAAGTTTTTTTATTTTTTTGAGGATAAAAAAGAAAAAAATGCACCCCAACTTAATGGACTACATTCCAGAATTTTAAAAAACTTTTTTCATAATTTTTTATTAGTATATTTTTCATAGCTGTTGAGAAAATTTACTCATATATGTATATTGATAATATTTTTTCTCAGGAGTGAACGAAAAATTTTTTGATAAAAAAAATAATAACGTGATTTACTGACAAAAACTATATTTTTTTAAAATTTTTCTTTGCAGATAGAATAGAATGGAGGAAGGGGACCGCAGGTTGAGAGAAGTCGAGAAGCAACAACACTTGGAAGAGGGCCCCACGAGACGGACTCTTTCCAGTTGGTCCTCCGCCGCCTTGGCCTCCCCACAAATCATTCCTGACACGTGTCCCGGACTGAAGGGCCCACTGTCCCAATCACGTTAATAACAATCCTTCATCTCCTACGTGTCGCTTTCTTATTCGCAATTCCCGAGAACACCGTTTGCCGTCACGGCCCGAAAGAAACTTCACTCCTCATCGCCCCGCCAAATTAATGTTTTTTCCGCATTTATTTATTCGTTCTTTTTCCCTCAATTTTTTTAAAAAAATTCATAATGCTTCTCACATTTAATATTTAATAAAAAAATTAATTATTCAATTTCTATCATTTTTATTGGGTTTTCATCCAATTCTTAAATTATGATTCAGTAGAATTTAATATCTGTAATTTTAGTTATTTACATGTTGAGTTAAAATTTAAAGATTAAATTACAATTAAATTAAAATTATAATGGTCAAATAATTAATTTTTATTTTAATAAATAATTATTAATATATCAGTATAGTATACTTAATTTAGAGTTAAAAAGAAGATGCTTCCTGTTTTGTATTGTAAGACATTTTTCTGAAATATATTATATTCAAACATATATAACATTTTGGTCTTGCAAGGTTAACATTTTTTTTTAAAAAAATATTAATAAGATTTTCTCGGGTTATCTCCACAAATATAACATTTTAAAATTAGATGTGATTTTTTTTTTGAACCAAAATGAAAAAGATCAGATGTGATTTTCATGTTTGGTGAATTACAACTTCCTATTTCATTTTGAATATTAGCATTAATATAAAAATAATACTAACAAAGTATAATATTTTTTTTTAAATTACTCACAAATATCCAACAATCAATCCCATTCTAAACACTTTCAAGTTTCAAATATTAAATATAAACAACTCTCTTAATAAAAATTTAAATTTGTTAAAGTTATAGAAGACTAACCTCTTTCATTATACACAGGATACATCCCCTTGTTGATACAAAGTAGCATAATATTAACAAACATAAACAGTACAATTCATTTTTTACCCATCTTGCAGTTTTTTTTTTTTCGTTAAATTTTTATAAAATAAATTGGCTGGTCAGATTTAAGCATTAACATATTTAATTTAGTAAGAGGGCTAATAATGTCCCTATCAATAAAGGTTAATCTAGTTAACAAGAATTTAATTAATAATTTATAAGGCTGTGAAACAAAATTCTATTGACAATGTGAGAACTTATTAATAAGTAATAAGTAATATGTAAATATTCCATGGAGTTATGTCTTGATCCTCGTAAACCCCTTACTCAATTCTTCTAAATTTTCCCATAGCAGCCGGCCTCTCCAAGCATGAGGAACCAAATTATGAACTCCAAAAATCCAACTTAAATTTTCTTGCTCAGGGAAAATTGAATTTTTTAAAAAAGAAAAAAAAGAAAAAAGAAATCAACAGCCTTGTGTCAGGCTAGCGTATGTGAGGTGTATAAGAAGGGAGCAGCGTGGGGCGCGTAGGGTTTTCTCAAACTTCTGCTTTCACGTCTTGTCAATCCACAATCTTTCGCTTCTCCTTCCTTCTCTCCAATTACTTCCTCCTTCCTTCACTCACTTCCATTCACGCGTGATTTCTCAATTCTTCACAAGGTACCTCCTCTCTTTCATATCTTTTGCTCTTTGCTGCTAATTCATGTTTCTTTTTTGTTTCGCTCACGCTATGAAGTTATAAATTGTTCACTGCATCATCTGAGATTTGAATTTTACTCCGTTAGCGTTATATCTGATGGTTCCCCCGGCCCCATCGCTGTGGACTGATTTTCATAGGATCTCGTTGCCTCGCCTCTCTCAATCAATTGATCAACCTTCCTTGCCCAGCTGTGATTGTGTTTTTCCCCTGGTGTGTTACAAGGGGGGTTAGCGGGCGGCTGATTGATTTGTCCTCTGTTCGCTAATTGATAGCATCCCTCTTTTTGCTCAAAAGATAATTTGTTTGCTTGTGTGATTGTGTCTTTTGGTGCATTCTTCTTATTCTTATTCCTTTTAGGTTTTTGGTTGCTTGTTTTGTAATTATGCTGATTATAATTCTTTCATGGCATCTTTTTGTGCTTTTTGTCATCAACTGAAACATATAATTACAAGGGTTATTATTGGAATTCAATTCTGCTTGTACCATGTGGCTTACTTACAAACTCAAAATTTTCATGTAGTTTGGTTACTTGGATTAAGATCATTCGTAAACTACGAAGTAAATATGCTCTATCTTTCTTTCAGGTGCCTTCAATTTTACATACGCTTCTTTCTGATAGTATCTGAAAGATCTGACCGAGTGCTGCGCCGTTGCTGATTCACTTGTCAAATTTTTTAGTTGCTCGTCTTCTTTATCATTATCTACTCTTATCACAAATCTCAGGGAATGCTGAAAGATGTGCTTGAAAGTCAAAATTTCTTTCTCTGATGTTAACAAGGCAAGAGCTCCTTTTGAGCTGGCCTTGTTCATCTTTGAAGAGATTGGGTGTTTAGATCATTGTCCGTGTCTATTCCGTGCTCAAGTGCATGACGCTGCGATAAATCCAAGTGGTAATTTGATGTCAAAATATTATGTCTGCGAAGATGGTTGACCTTTGAAGTTCTTCATAGGCAGTTTGCTGCTGCTTCTGGTAAATAAATTCTTTATATATTCTTCTAGTGCTGGTAGCATTGATTATATAAAAGTTATTAGAAATGGAACCAAAAGGTGTTCTTATGCAAAGATATGAACTGGGGAGATTATTAGGCCAAGGAACCTTTGCAAAGGTCTATTATGCAAGGAACCTTGTTACGGGCATGAGTGTAGCCATTAAGATAATTGATAAAGAGAAGATTCTGAAAGTTGGGATGATTGATCAAATTAAGAGGGAAATTTCAGTGATGAGACTGGTTAGACATCCACATGTGGTTGAGCTTTATGAGGTGATGGCCACTAAAACCAAGATTTACTTTGTCATGGAGTGCGCAAAAGGTGGTGAACTCTTCCATAAGGTAGCCAAAGGAAAGCTGAAGGAGGATGTTGCTAGGAAATACTTTCAGCAACTGATCAGTGCTGTTGACTACTGCCATAGCAGAGGAGTGTGTCATCGGGATCTAAAACCAGAAAATCTACTATTAGACGAAAATGGGAATTTGAAGGTTTCAGATTTTGGGTTAAGTGCTCTTGCTGAGTCTAAGCACCAAGATGGCTTACTCCATACTACATGTGGTACCCCAGCCTATGTTGCTCCAGAAGTGATAAACAGAAAGGGATATGATGGGTTCAAAGCTGATATATGGTCATGCGGGGTGATCTTGTATGTTTTATTGGCAGGTTATCTTCCATTCCAAAATTCTAATCTGATGGAGATGTATAGGAAGATTGGTAAGGGGGAGTATAAATTTCCTAGCTGGTTTGCACCAGATGTCCGCAGGTTGTTGTCCAAAATCTTGGTTCCTAATCCAAACAAGCGGATATCAATGGCCAAAATTATGGAAAGTTCTTGGTTCAAGAAGGGATTAGAAAAGAATGTTGTTACAGAGACCGAAGAGAAAGAACCAGCACCTTTGGATGCTGATGGCGTATTTGGAGCTTGTGAAAATAACAGTGGTCCTGTTGCAGAAACAAAGCAAGAACTCACCAAACCTCATAATATGAATGCTTTTGATATCATTTCCTTGTCTGCTGGGTTTGACTTGTCTGGTCTGTTTGAGGACATCGATTGCAAGAAAGAGGTGCGGTTTACATCAAACAAGCCCTCCGCAATTATCATCTCCAAATTAGAAGAAATTTGTAAGCGCCTTCGACTGAAAGTGAAGAAGAAAGATGGAGGTTTGTTCAAGCTGGAGGGCTCCACTGAAGGCAGAAAAGGCGCTCTGGGTATAGATGCTGAAATCTTTGAGATCACCCCACTCTTCCATATGGTGGAACTTAAGAAGTCCAGTGGAGACACATTGGAGTACCAGAAGCTTGTGAAAGAGGACATTAGACCAGCACTTAAGGACATAGTTTGGACCTGGCAAGGAGACCAACCTCAGCAACTACAGCAAGAAGTGGTGCTGATGGAGCAACAGCCTTCACATGCTGCCTAGTCGGAGCTTGTGTCACAATCAACTTCATGAGTATTGTATTTCACAATTTGCTTGTAGCATGCTGTCGTTACTTCTTCATTGTCTTTGTCAAGTGAGTCGTCATGGATTAAAAATTGCTAGCGCTATCTTCAGCTTTCATGGATACATTAAAGACCTGTTTTAGTAGTTGTTATTGCTTATTATTATTGTTTCTCAATGTTGGTCTTTGCAAGGAGTTTTTGTTACTTTAATAACATAGCTTCCATTAATTTATCCCTGGCAGTGTGACGATCAGCCAAATTCACCACCCTTTCGTTTAACATATTTTAGATTTCATAAAAATGGGTAACAACTGATAAGTGATGCATGTTAAAGAAAACTTGAACAAAACTGAAATCAAATGAACAGGTGACTATACCAATATCTGAAAGCTTTTATCACACGATTTCTTATGTTAATTTGATAAGGTTGTTCATCTATTTTGCCAGAGACAGATTATTTGACTCTTGGCCCTTTTGAAACTTTCCCATATTTCTTTCTTTTATTTTTTTAATTTGAGCACCCAATATCATGGCCTTATGTCACTCATGCTGTGAAGATTTGAAGAGACCCAAACTAATTTGAATCAAGATATGACGAGAACTACAAGAGAGGGCATCCTTAGTCGCTTATGCTAATGTATTTTCATAATTCAAACTAGAGATTCTTGATTAAGCTAAAATGACTCTTTTCCCATATTTCTTCCTTCTACTAGATCACTCCAAGTAGAGATCCATGAAATGGATTGTCAATTGTGGATTTGAAGTTGGAATGATTGTGTGCCATGTCTCACTTTTAATATACTTATAGATTAAAAACATAGAATTGATCGCAAGCCGACCTTAGCTCAGTTGGTAGAGCGGAGGACTGTAGTGGGAACAATTCCTGACAGATCATCCTTAGGTCGCTGGTTCGAATCCGGCAGGTCGGATGCTCTTTTTAGCAGTAGGTCGTATTCTTAATTTAATTATATATGTTTTCCCTTATATACAAAATATGATAAACAAATTACATTATTTTATAATTTGTGAATATATTTGTAATTGTTTTGTGCAAAATTATTCCTTGGAAATTTCAAGGTAATGTCAGTTTGCATAGAGCAGCAAATGATTTGAAATCAAAATAATTGGACCAAATCTTTTCAGTTACATTAGAGTGAAGATTCACATCCCTTTTGATTTTCCAAGACATTCGATTAAATAAGAATGCTCATGAGAAATTTGAGCCCACCTAACATAATGTTTAAAATGTAAATTAACACAAAATATTTTCGCAAAAACTATCGATGTTAACTGCACCTGCCTTTCAGTCCAGGGCCCCCCAAAAAGTAGTGTGAAAACTAGGGAATCGCTTATTTCAAGCAATTAAATTTTAGGAAAAATAACATTCTGAAATGTCTATCTCCAATCCATCCTATAAATAAGTCTCTTTCTAAAAGAAATTGATAATCATTTTTACAATTCACTTTGCCAAAAAAAAAAAAAACACCTACACACACCCCATTAATTATTTGTCTAATTTTACCAGTTTGCACTTTTTTATGAGTAGATTAAGATCTTACAAGGGAAAGCAAGTTTTTATAGATGATGATCATCTAATAAAAGTAAGCTAAATTTTTTTTCCGAACAATATCAATAATTTAATTATATTTTATTAGTTTCAGTGAAATAGTTAAAAATAACTTATATATAAATAAGATAGAATGTAAATATATATGCATACAAGTAAATATCTATATAATATTTATAAAGCTGTTTCTCTTAATCAAACAACCCATTAATAATGCAACTATTTCGGATTGAGCTGGGTCGGCCACAATGACGACAAAGTTTTTCAAAGTATTTAACGTGATTGCTTACTCAAGACTTGAACCTAAGAAACTCGTTAAATTAGTATAGCTCCTTACTAGTCATGCAACGCAATTGGATATAAAAGCTCATTTCTCATGCCTAGCAATAGTTGAATCGAGTAGAAAATATTCAATTTCCTCAAACAACATAAAAAGTTTGAATTGTGTGAATGGGAAAAAAAATAATGTTGAAACACCAGAGCTCCCTCAAATTCAGACAGACAGACTCAAATCTAATCCTATAACAACATTCCAAATAATTATATAAAAAACTCATTTTTCATATTCCACGGCAAATCCATAAATAAGAATTGATATTAATAATTAATAATATATGGCTCGGTTATCAATTTTGGCGTCCGAGATTTAACACGGATCCATTGAAATTACTTTGTTAGGATCTGTATTTATGTCTACATGATATGATCTAATCATGATTTTACATTTCGGCTGCTTATAAAATAAATAAACCACCCCTCCTCTAGAACTCATGAATGCCTTGAAGAATTGACAATCCCAACTCATACCTTGGCAAATCCTCAAACCCTTTTCCCCTCTTACTGAGACTCCAAAATGTTCTTGAAAATGGCCAACACCAAGTACATAAGCTGTGATTTCATACCCAGAGATTAAGCGTACTCGCAACTCCACATTTTAAGAGTTGCATGAATCTACCCCACTTGGCAGCAACACCAAAAAGAGATTTCAGATTACATTGAATTACCAAACCAGCATCAACTACTTAAGTCACCTTAAATCTTCTTTATAGGCAGCCGAAATATAACACACGCACATAAATTCAGTCCTAACAAGACAAGAATCCGGATTCCCAATGTCTCTCTGAACTAAACAAAATTGATGACTAAAACCTGATAATAAATTACCCAAGTATAATTAATTATATATTTAATCGATAAGATATTTACAGGATGACAGTAAGATTGTGTTCTTTCACTCCATCAGAGGAGGAAGCAACCAGATAAAAATGCATGAGATAGGGCTGTATTTTATTTCGTCATCAGCAGTGACCTATGTTAGCATCATTTTCTCATTAAGACATCATGTGCTGCACTTTTTTGAAAGAAAAAAAAAATATCAGAGATGCAACAAGCTCGATTCTCCAAAGGACACATTGCCTTCAAAAAGGGGAATCCTTCCCTCGGAGAATAGAAGCAAAAAAAAAAAATTACTTGGAACCAAATGGAAGGCACCTGGTTACCTGTTGGCTCAAAAGGCATATGCATCCAACATGTATTCCTATCCATGCTAAGAGGCATGTAAACATCAATCTCCCTTGCATAGAAGAAAGGAAGATACAATGCATCCAGTATTCTAAACTCTACCAAAAGGAGGCTATTTGCCTCAAGAGAACAGGTTTTTTTCCTTTTTTTTTTTTCCTTTTTTTGTTTTTTGGTCAAGTCTCATGCCCTGTCACTATCCTCTTAATCAAATGACCAAAGAGACTGTACATCTGAGGCAGGGGGTTGACTACCAATAGGAGGCCTTGCAACAGATGACTTCCCAACTCCTTCCACTGAACCATGCATAGGCCATTCGTGTCTGCCAAGTATACATATATAATAAGTATCGCCAATTGCAAGAAGAAAGAAGCATGATATAGAATCAATTTAAACAAGCTATATAATTACATGAAATTCATATAATCATAAAAATACTATTCCTTCCGCCCCAAATTATAAGACACTTTTAGACAAAATCTCACATACCAATAAACCTCATTAAATACAGTTAACAACCTTATTTTTTCAAAACAAAAATGTAAATTTTCAAAAATACCCATTATTTAACATATTGAAAAGAAAAGAGACGAAAATTAAATATAGAGAGAGCAAAGATGATATTGGAATTGATGCATTTAATGAAACCTTAATCTACTAAAAGCGTTTTATATTTTAGGACGGATAAACTCCTTCAAAAAGCCTTATAATTTGGATCGGAGGTAGTACTAGCATGCATATGAGCCAAAAAGCACATCATCACAACGTTGAATAAAGCACTGACAACACACAGTAGACCATGGTGGCAAAACTACAAAAGCATGAAGCCACTAGCAGTCAAAAGCAAAAAGGAAAAAACGACAGAAAAGCACAAAAACTGGAGAAAGTTAACAGCTCATTAACCGAATATCACATTACAGTAAACATGCAATTCCTATTCACCTTTATCAGCTGGACAAAAGAATTCCCTCCTATACAGTCATCTCTACATACGTTTCAGGTTTCAGTTATATCAACAAGTGCTGATTAAACTAGGCATAATAACAATAAACGGCCACACATTCTCAAACATCATTTTAAACCACAATTTGATGACATGGCAAAATAGGAAGGAAAAAGCATGGGTAACAAAGTGTAATACCTAATCAGTTCAAACTCATCTGCCAAAATCACTATGTCATGTAGTTCACTTCATATGACAATCAACACAATAATACATATCTCTCCAAACAATCATTTTCCTTTCTAGCTGGACAGAACAATTTAAACCTTGAAGGAAGAAAACAAATTCTTTGCTTATATTTGTCACCAACAATGCAGATACATATTATACATACAATTGCTCCAAATCTCTCCACAAACCAATACATAACCATGGCCATAAATATGGAGGGAGCACCAAGAGATGAAGGATCAATCAAATACCCCAATTCCTTAAGTACAGTATAAAAAGAAAAACAACACAAACAAAGTTTTCAATATCTGAACTCCAATTTTAACGCGCCAGTTTGCAATTAAGCTCCAGCAGCAGCAACCAAGAATTTTGGCTCAAGAAAACTTCAGGCCAACTTTACACAGATACTGGTTCTCATCAAGCAAACGGCATGACAAACAACCTATTTCATGCATATTTATGTCTGTTACAACCATAAAGTGCGTGCTTTTATGGTCCAAAGGTTCAAGTATCAAGTACAGTAAGACAATTAGCTTCCAATTTTCTGAACATTCATTACTAATGTGCCCCAAGATTTCACACTAGCTTTTAAGATCCCCTTTCCAGGTTCACCAATGCATTCTAGCAAGCAACATTTTCAGCTGCCTGGAAAGTGCACACCATGCATAACATTTCAGTCACTCTAGTTGTCTCCCCACCCCCCAAAAGGGGGGGGGGGGGACTCTAGTTTGCCTTTATTCACATATAGTGAAATAAAAACGACACTAAAATTCAATAGAAATTCATGAGTTTTCCTTGCCAGAGTCAGTGACCAACAATTTTAAGTCTTAAACTTCTTCAGGACCCCAAGAGCAAGATCTCCAGATTAACATGTAAACAAACTAAAATTGTATTTTCATTGACTGAGCCAATCTTGC